CAATAATCTCTTTTTTTGCTAAGTCACCCTCTGCAACACAGTGTTTACACAGCGAGAGGGCTGAGCGTGGCCCACTGCTAAACACTGTGCAGACACCAAACAAGTCACTGCCTCCCAAACTTTGATCCAAGTTTACAAATCAAGGCTTTTCTGTACTATTAGGGCCAAACTTTTCTTGATTGCACCCTTAAAAGCTAAGGGAGAGAAAAGCACATTAAGGGAGGTTCACCCTTCCCACAGCCAAGTGTGAGGTGATGAAGGAAGCCCATATGGGGCAGCCTACAGGTTAGATCAGTGCTGGGGATTAATCTTGGTGTATTTTAGACAACTGAGTCTGTGGCAACACAGCTGTAGTTAAGGGGTTAACTTTTGGGGCTTGGTTAATTAAAGGAAAACAATTAGGTACTGGCAGCCAAGCGATCCCTGCTTTTAGCAGCAGCTTTCTGGAGCCGACAGCGAAAAGGTTCGAACCTCTAACAGCAGTAAACTTTACCGAAGTCCAGCGATCTTTCCTGAAAGTGTTTCAAAAGGCACCGACTGCACAGAAGTGCCAGGCTTGCACAAATCGACCTCATCAGTATGCACCTTGTTTTGCCCCGTGACACTCAGCAGCTGCGGTTAATTAGTCCTTGATAATGAATTGCCCATCACGACTGCAGGAAGCCGGTAGGTGAGCGATTCCTAACCGTGCTTTGGAATCAGTATGCAAAAAGCACAAACGCTAAAGAGTAAAGTTAACAATCTGTTTACCCCTTCCCTCACTCCTCCAAGGCTGCTACCAGCCAAAGGCTCAGGGAAAAGCAATAACAAATCTATTTCCAGGGTTCAGCAGAGAGAAACCATTTGGACTGCTCTCAATTTTCATATCTTTGCCACCAGTGCTTTGTGTTATTTCTCTCAACTCATTCAAGTTAGGAGATGAAGCCTATTCTTTTGGCTAATAGCATTTAAAGCCTCTCTCTGGAGATAATTAGTCCTCCCTCCCCATCCCATCCTCAGCAGAAAGAGCAGAGAGTCACCAATAAACAAAGAAATCCAGGCAGTGACAACCAGGGTATAGCTGAGACCAAAGCTGCCTCTCACCTCCCTGTCTCAGCACAGCTGAGGATCAAAAACAAGTGACACCACAAGCAATAGAATGAACAACACAAGGATTTTCAGATTAAGGGCTTCGTCATTTTGAAATCAGGAAAACAGCAACTCCCCATCGACAAGAAGCAAAATACCAACGTGGAATCACAAGATGCTCTGCCTGGTCACCTTCCAACCCGGACAGATCGTCCTGAGTCATTCAAAATCAGCAGATAAGAGCAAGAATTGGGAAAGCTGCAGCCTTTTACCTCTGGTTCCAGGCCTGTCACCCAGCCACTGGCAAATCACACCAACCTCCACACCTCAGCTCCTACCGAGATACAGGAAATCCTCTGGGCAGAGGACAAATTAAGGGCAGTCAGCAGTGGGAAAGCCCCTCTGCTGAAGCCTGACAAACTTCTGCATGTCTGTATGGCAGCTCCTCCCACGGGATCTGCCCTTGGATTCAGGGCACAGTTTGGAAGGAGTTAAACCCCAGCCATGGGGATGAGCAGCCATGCTGGCTGCTGCATTCCTTGCCCAACCATGACCCCACTGTGCAGGGAAGAACTGGGAATAGTTATCACCACAGCGCTGACACGTCAGCAACAGCGACTAATTAACTGATAAAAATAGATCTCTGAAAGGGCTTTTTTCCCCTCGACACAAAGCCCAGGCCCAACGTTGCCACAGTTGCACATCCATTAGTTTTCCACAGGCTCCAAACTTGCTAGCTAAAAATAAAAGCATTCTCACACTCAGAAAAATAAACCCACATGACATTTGTATGCAGAAAATCACTGCTAAAGAGAATTAGGGAACTGATTACGAATGACCTGGAGCATCTCCACTCCCACCTTAATGGATGCAGGAGCAAGATGATGTCTTTGCCTCCAACAGCCCTAATAGCTTCCCAGCAGTCCAAAGTTATGGGTTTGCCTGAAAAATTACATGTTTTGAGGTAATCCAAATGATCCCAAGGATATTTGCAGCTTTCTTCACTCATGAGACCAGCCAGAAAAACCCAGTTCTGTTTTAAGCCCCCCAACACCCAGACACAGGTTTTGTACAGCTTGTAACTAAATATTCATCACCAGCTAATAAACCTGCAGGAACCACAGTCTCAGCAAATTTTAATACATAGAATGCTCCAACACATGCCAAACACAATGAAATTTAATCAAAATAGAAGCCATTTGTTTAAATACAAATGATTTGGCTCTCAAAACTGTTATCAAATTGAACTGGAAATGAAATTAACCCGTGGCTGAATGAAGCAGAAGGCTGTATAATCACTGATCCAGCAGCACGAAAGCAAGGATGCAATCACATTCCCCTTGTTTGCGGCACTGCCCATGCTCCCAGCAGGACTCCCACTCCATCTCCCAGGGGCTGGGAATGCTCTGTGCCTCAGACACAGCTCAGTCCTTGGGAATCCAGGAAGAAAACGCTCCTTGCAAAAACACTCTGATACATTATCAGCGAACAGAGTATCACCTGTGAAAGGACACACTGACACCTCCGCTTGGGACAGAGAGCGCAGCATTCCCAGCACTGCTGGGAGGATCAGGATTGAACCTACTCTAATGAGCAAGGGTTTTTGTTGCCATCCCTGTGCAGATACTCAGCCTCAGTCGGTGTAGCTGTGACAGCCCCGTCCCTCACAATCGGCCTCGTTTTGGCTCTATTTTGCCCCTTCCTTCACAAAAAGGAATTTAAACTACATAAGCTGATGATTTTAGGTGTTGTCTACTCTTAAAAGCAGTTTGGATTCATTTAAAAGGTCTGCTTGAGGAGCACCTGGCACTCCTGAGGAAATCGCAGCAGAGAGAGGAATCCAGTTACACTCCCTTGCATCTTCTGCAGCACACCAGACCCACTCAGCTGAACACCCTCTGCCCACCCAGAGTGGGCTGTGGGAACTTCATCAATCCCCTTCCCTGATCCTGCTCCAGACTGGCTTTTGAAGAGCAGGAACATCACAACTTTAGCACTCACTCCTGCACAATTCCAGCTTTCTTCAAGCAATAAAGAAGCAAGTACAAGGAGAAGGCTCCTGGGAAATCTCACTACACCCTTCCAGCACTTGAAGGAAGATGATAAAAAGAAGGAGAGTGACTTTTTATACAGGCAGAAAGTGATAGGACAAGTGGAACAGTTTTACACTCAACAAGGAGATTTAGATGAGTATTGGGAAGGAATTGTTCCCTGGCAGGGTGGGCAGCCCCTGGCACAGGTGCCCAGAGCAGCTGTGGCTGCCCCTGGATCCCTGGCAGTGCCCAAGGCCGGGCTGGATGGGGCTGGAGCAGCCTGGGACAGGGGAAGGTGTCCCTGCCATGGCAGGGTGGAACACGAGCAGCTTTAAGGTCGCTTCCAACTCAAGTCATTCTGGGATTCCTTGACTCCAGTTCTCTTTCGAGGCTTGTGGAAGCAACAGTTAAACATCCTAAAGCTTAAAGAGCTTTATAGTTTCTTTCAGCCTCAGCTGAGCACCTTCTCCCATCATTTCACTTTGCAGTATTTCAGTGCCAGAGAAGGGCACCAAGCCCTCGCCTACCTCCACCTGGACAAACACAACCCAGTGCAAGGCACAGAGGTAAATAATTCATCTGCGTGCAAACACAGGGAAAGAACAATTAAGCCAGAAAGCACAACGGGGACGTTTCAAATTTCAGTCAACATTAGGGCAGGAGAGATCAAACAAAGAAATACCAGCGGGGCTGCCTCAGAGGGAACTTCGGGAAGCTGCGAACACTCACGGCAAGGCACGGGAGGGCGGCAGGGACCAGAGCCCGGGTTTTACCGGAGCGCCAGCCCGAGCCGCTCGGCTTCCCAGCCGTCCCCCGCAGCACAGAGCGCACAGGACGCCAGCTCCGCTTCTCGCCTTCCGAGCCAGCGGCGGCTGCTGGCCCCGCGAGCCCGGTCCTGTGGGGCCGCTCCGCCGGGAGCCCCCGGCCCGGTGCCCGCACAGCCCGGCCCTTCCGCGGCATCCCCGGGGCGCCGCCGCTCCCGGTCCGTGACCGCCCCCGGGCAGGGGGCTGGGCTGCGCCGGGCCGGGGCTCTCCGGGCCCGTCCTTCCCCCGCCGAGCGCGGTTCCCTCACCGTGCCGGCGCTCCCGGCCCCCGCCCGCCCTTACCTGCCGCCGCCGCCGCCGCCGGGACGCGCCGCCGGAAGCCGCGCGCGGGGCATGCCGGGAGATGTAGTGCGGCGGACTGACACGCCCCGGCGGGAGGACACGCCCCCGGAAGCCCCCTCACAGCCGGCTGTCGGGGGCAAGGCGGCCGTGCGGGGCAGGGCTGCAAGGAGAGGGGCTCTGGGGTCCCTTCCGACCCAAACCATTTGGGCATCGCTGGGTTCACGGCGGAGCTGGTCCCGGCGTTCGGTCCGTGCCTCCCGCTGGCTCCAGCGAGCGGCGCTGCCGCCCCGGGGAGACCGGCGGGTCCCGAACCCAGCCCGGCCCGTCCCGCCTGTGCTCTGTTTCCATTTCCATTGTCCATTTCAGCCCACGCAGCGGATCCAGCAGTCTGCTTGCATCTGTCGGGAATGAGCTGCCCACACTCAGGGCAAAGGTGTTTCATCTCCAGCCCCACATGAACCCCTCACAGCGGGGGCAGCTCAGCCCCAGCAATGCCGACTTTGCAAAGCGCTTCGGGCTCCGTTACTCGTAAAATGTTCCTTCAGCACAGATCATTATTATTATTATTATTATTATTATTATTACCACTACTGTTATTTCCTGTTGCTTTGGTGTGTACTAAACATCACCAACACATTATGTTTTTAAATTGAGGGCAATTGTAGTGTAAAAAAATAGCATCTATTGGGATCATAACTGTCAGCTTCAGGTAGGGAGATTATAAACACACCTGCCCTGCAAGAGAACAGTGAAAGCTGTGGATAAATTATAGATAGGTACACAAATTGCAGGCTTTAGTTGTGCACTGGATGAGGAATTTATTGGTCTGTAATTGTGACCAGGTGAATAAACAGAGGGGTTAAGCGATGCAGTGCCAGGGTGTGAGCTGAAGCAGCCCCCGGGCCGCGGTGCTCCCCGGTGCTCCAGGGTGGCGCCCGGGCAGAGCAGCACCGCGGGCTCCGCTGTTCTCTCCACACACCGGGAGCTCTGGCACAGCCGGCAAAGCCCAGGGAGCCCCGTCCTCCTGCCTCAGCTTCCCAAAAGAAGCTGCCCTCACACCTCTTTCCCCCAAAACGGAGGCTCTGCCCTGTGAGTCCCCGGCACTCTCTGCAAGCCGGCGGCTCCCCCGCGCCGCCAGGCTCCGGCCCCTCCGGCACACCGCGAAGCGCCGGCCGCGCAGAGCTGGCCCCTCGCCAGGGCTCTATCAGCGCCTTCCAGGGGCTCTGCCCACGCCCTGATAACTGCTGGCTTCACAGCACGGGCCTGGCGTGCCCTGCTCTGCCCCAGCAGCACTGCAGCTCAGCTCTGCGCCAGCAGTGCAGCAGAGCAGCCCCTGGACACACGGTGGGATGAGGGTCATGCCTAAATCCTGGCTTCCCAGGAAGATGCTACAGCCAGGAAAGACTGGAATCAGTCACCACAAAGGAGAGCTTACTGAAGTCAAATCCATCCCCCTCAGGCAAGTGGGGAGTACTCAGACCTCCCACATCCTCCCTTGGACAACTCGGGGATGCTCCCTAGTACTCCCAGAGCAGCAAGAGCCCTGCACTCTACTTCTGCCATACAGGAATAGCCCATGGGTGGACCAAGGGGAAAGTGAAAAAGGAAAAAGAATTTAAAAGTAATTATTTTATTTTTTCAAACAAGATTAATAGCAAAGTTACAGAGGCATTTCCATGCCTAGTCAGGAGTTTATATATATTTAAAAAAAAACAGAAATAACTTAACTGGAGTGATCACTCAACAGCCAAACCAAGGGTGGCAATGGGGCTGGATCCTGCTCCCCAACAGGCACCTCCATGTGCTGCTGGGAATGCTCTGGCGTGTCTGGATAAAGCCATGGCCAGCCCATCCCACCCTGCCACCCGCACAGCAGCAGAGGGGCTGAGGGAGCCCCATGCCCCAGCACGGCTCCCCACATCAGCCCCTGAAGCTGAGGAAGTGGAGATGCACCAGCGGCTGGAAAACAATGCAAAAACGTGTAAAACACACTCAAGCATTCCTATGCTTTCCCTGCTCCTGCCCTGGCACTTAGGTTAAAGGCACTTCACATCCCAGACTGCAGGGGATGAGGCAGAAAGGTGGGGAGGGGGTGCCTGGGCAGCACCCCCACCAGCAGCTGTCTCCCAGCACAGCAGGACCCAAAATGCAGGGATGAAGGGAACCCTGTGATATCCTCTGGCCATCTCTGGCAGGGGGACAGTCCTCTTCGGTGCCAGGACACGTCACAGGGGTGTGACACCAGCACTGCAGCCACAGACATCCCTGTCTGGCTTCACTGAGGCCAGCCCCAGAAGGCACGGAGCAGGAGAGCACTCGCAGCTCTGTCAAGCCCAGGGCAGCACTTGGGGGTCTTCCCAGCACCGACACCTTCCTGGGGGCTCACCCCTCCTGGGAGAAAGCGCAGGAAAGCTCCCACTTCACTTCCACAGCTCTAAGCCCGTGAAGCAGGGAGACAATACTCCAGATGAACTTCCAGGGTTCCAGCAGCGCCCCGGCCTCTCCTGCAGAGCCAGGGCAGGGGCAGGGGCAGAGCAGGGCAGAGCAGCTCAGGTCATGTAGCGGGTGACAGCCCTGAGGGCGTAGAGCAGAGCCGCCTGCATGCGCGCCTCCAGCAGGAGCAGGTTGATGTGCACCTACGGGAGAGCGGGGTCAGGGCACGGGGTCAGCACCCCGAGCTCCCTGCCAGGGGAAGGGACGGGCAGCACCTTCTCCGAGTGCTTGAAGTGCCTCCAGAACTGCGCGTAGATCTGCCTGGTGGTCCTCTCCGGGTAGCAAGCCACTGTCTTGATGTAGACCTTTAGGTTGCGCTCCAGGAGCTGGTTCACCTCCCCGTAGTCGTAGTCATCATAGCTGCAGAGAGGAGGGTGTGTTACTCCAGACACAAGCCTTGTGCATTCACAGAATCCCAGAATGGTTTGGGCGAGAGGGGACCTTAAAGCCCATCCAGTCCCACCCCTGCCATGGCAGCAACACCTTTTACTGTCCCAGGCTGCTCCAAGCCCCATCCAACCTGGCCTTGGACACCTCCAGGGATCAGGATTCCACCAACTCTTTGAGCAAACTCTGCCAGAGCCTCACCATCCTTATTGTAACTTTTTACTAAATTCTCCTTTCCCAGGGCTGTTCTGAACAGCATCACTTTGCCATGGGGAAGCAGCAGCAGCAGCAACAGTCTAAGCAAGACGGAGCCACTGGAGCTGCTCCTGGGCTCTTCCCGAGGTGCAGGAGGAAGCCCAGCCAGGTGCTGGGGACACACCGGATGCCAAAGACGCAGTGCACGTAGTTCCAGATGGCTCGGCGCAGCACAGAGGTGTCCACGCCACAGTGCATGGCAATGGTGTTGTAGGTCAGGTTGTAAACCACCTGGAACTTCTCATCCAGGAGCTGCCCCACGTCTGGGTACAGGCGGTTGATCAGCGAGTAGCCGTGGTCCTCCCAGCTGTAATCCTGGTGGAGAGAGGATGCTGGGGTAGGGGTCTGGTGGGGAAAAGCGGGGTGTCTCTGTCCTGGTTTCAGGAAGGGTAGAGTTAATTTCTTCTCAGTAGCTGTTCCAGTGCTGTGTTTTGGATTTGGAATGAGAAGGGTGTTGGTAACACACTGATGGTTTGGTTTTTTGCTAAGTTGGGCTTATCCTCAGTCAAGGACTTTATTCCTCTTGTTTCAGGCTCTGCCAGTGGGAGGGAGCATAGCTAGGACAGGTGACCTGAACTGACCACAGGGATATTCCACACCAGAGAACGTCATGCCCAGTGTATAAACTGGAGGGAGTTACCCAGAAGGGGCCAGTCTGGGTTTGGGAAGGGGGGGCAGGCATCAGTCAGCAGGTGCTAAGCAATTGCATTGTGCATCATTTGTTTTTTCCCTTTTCATTGTCATTATTATCATTATTTACCATCATCATTGTATTTTACTTTATTTTCAATTATTAAACTGTTTGTATATCAACATACAAGTTTTATTTTGATTTTCCTCCCTGGGGTGGGGGAAGAAAGTGGGGACTGAGTGAGCAGCTGTGTCAGGTTTCATCTCCAGCTGGTCTTAAACCACAACACCCCCCAAAGCCAGGGACACAAGGTGGGGTCCCCCCCTAAGTTGACACCTCCCCCCAGTTCTCAGCACCTGGTTGCTCAGCTCCAGCCCTGCACCCACTGTCCACAATCCTGGGAACAACCCCGACATAAACAGGAGGCACCCCCAGACCTGAGCACCCACCTGTGCACGGAAAGTGGGGGGGGCCTGCTCCCCCCTCCGTGTGAAGTCCTTGTATCCGAATTCAGGGTCCTCCAGGAAGCAGCGGATGTTGGACTGCAGGGAGGGATCCAAAGCATCTACAAGGGACCAATGCAGTGGCCATGAGCGCAGATGGAGTCAGTGCCCTGGGGAGCTGATCCCGCTCTCCCTCAGGCAGATTCTGGTTCCTTTCCCCCTCCTCGGGCTCCCCTGGCCCACAGGGACCTCCTGCCCCAGCCAGTTGCCCCCTGTACCTCCTCACCTGAGGAAGGGACCAGCAAACTTTCTGTCTTCTCCAGCTCGAAGCGCGTCGCCATCTCCTCCTGTGTGACTCCTTCCTCCTCCAGCTGGTTTTCCTGCAGCAGCTTCATCCTCTCCATCAGCACCTCCACCTCCTGCACGGCATCTGTGTCCTGGGGAAGCACAGGGCAGGGTCAGCCCTGGCACTTGGGGGAACCCCTGAGCATCTCCCTTTGGGTTGGTCCTGCCCAGATTCCAGCAGCCCCCATAACCCTTCCCCAGACCCCAAAGGGAGGAGGGGGAAGTCCTGTGGAGGATGTGGGAAGTACTGCATGGCTCTAAAGCATCAGCTGTTCCCAATAAAGGCCCTCCGAGAGATGGGCCACTCTACACTGGAGACAAGCCTGGAGAAGAGAAGGCTTCAGGGAGACCTTAGAGCCCCTTCCTGTGCCTAAAGGGGCTCCAGGAGAGCTGGAGAGGAACTTGGGACAAGAGCCTGGAGGGACAGGACAAGGGAGAATGGCTTCCCACTGCCAGAAGGCAGGGATAGATGGGATATTGAGAAGGAATCCTTCCCTGTGACAGTGGGGAGGCCCTGGCAGAGTTTGCCCAGAGAAACTGTGGCTGCCCCATCCCTAAAAGTGTTAAGGACCAGGCTGGATAGGGGCTGGAGCAGCCTGGTCTAGTGGAAGGTGTCCCTGCCCACAAGACAGGCTTTAAGGTCTCTTCCAATCCAAGCCAATTTGTGATTCCCCATGAAGCATCCCAGGGTACATTCACACCCTGCAAGGTAAAGCCCCTCTTACCCCAGAGCCCCCCATGCTGTCCCCAGAGGCAGGGCTGCTGTCGCTGTGGGGTGAGGGGGTCCAGCAGCTGCTCCCCACGTCCTGGTCCTCCTCGGGTTTGATGCCGCAGCCGAAGACAAAGGATGCGAGCGAGTGGTAGTGGGTGAGGAGCACCAGCGCCTGCACCAGCTCCGCCAGTGACCAGCTGTCCTGCCCCGGCCGCAGCAGAGCCTGCCACACACAGCAGGGGTTGGAGAGACCCCCAGCCCTCAGCTGCATGCCCACCACAGCCTAGGGCTGGGGCAAGCCAATGGCAGGGATACAGGAGTGCTTGGGAAGTGCCTCACCCATAGACCCAGCAGGGGCAAGTCACCCCTTCCCATCCCACTGACTCCCTCAGCCCTGAAAGGGTTAAACCCTGGGGGCTGTGCACGCAGGAGGTGGCCCCTGGGGTCAGTGTGTTTTGGGGGGATCTGTGCTGGCAGCATCTGCTCTCACCTCGATGTGCTCCTTGGTGATGAGCCAGGGCCGGTGCGCCAGCAGCTTGTTGATCTCACTGAGGTTCCGGAGCTTTTGGGGGGCGCAGTGCAGCCCCCGCAGCCATGCAGGGTTGCCCCCCACCTGCAGGAACTCCCCCATGTGCAACCCCACCAGGTAGGAGCACCGGTGCCGGGCTGCTGCCTGTGGGGAGAGCCAGCAGTCAGCCTCCAGCACTGCCTGGGGTCCCCACCCTGCTACAAGCCCACAGAGAAGCCAAGGCAGGGAGCCTGCCCAAGGCAGGGAGCCTGCCCAAGGCAGGGAGCCCACTCGTCCCATGTCACTCCTGGAGGATTTTCCCTGGGGATACGAGTTCCAGACAGGGGGATTTCCCCCCTCACTACCAGTGCCAGTCCCCAGGGGCCCTGGAGGGAGGGTGTTGGGGTACCCTGGGTGGGCACCAGCCCCAAAGGGGTTTGGGATGTCAGACCAGAGAGGGGTCCATCTGTGGGGACCCAAGTGCCTCCTGAGCAGCAGTGCTGGGACCCCACACAGAGCCCCGTGTCCCCACACCCCAGGGCCCCGCTGCTCACCATGATGGCGATGTAGTGGCGCTTGTGGTAGGGCAGGGGCCCGTCCATGCGCAGCAGGAGGTACTGGGTCTTCCAGAAGCTGCTGAGGTACTGGGGGTGCAGCCCCATGACCATGGCGACGTGGTCCACCCTGCCTGCCGAGACAAAGGCCTCGAGGAGCTGGTGCAGGCTGTTCTCCCCGCCTTCCTGAGGGACCTGCAGAAGGAGAGGAGGGAATGAAGGGCTGCGAGCTGTAGGCCCCCACTCTTCCCAACCTCCTCTAACCTAAGTGGAGACCCCCCCCCCAACAAGCAGGACCCAGGAACCCAAGAGCACCAAGGCTGGATCCTCACCCCATTGGAAGCGCCCCGCCTCCGGAACGGGCACCGCCGGGGGCCCCTGCTGCCCGTGTCCCCACTGCCAGCCCCGGGGGGCAGAGGGGGCTTGGGGGTCTCCATGACAGAGCCCACACAGGCTGTCCTGCTCAGCCTGCGGGTTGGGTTGTTTGTTTGGGCTCTGGAGTGCGGGGGAGGAGATGGGGGTCAGCCCCCAGCGCAGTGACGAAACCACGGCGCTATCTCTGCCCGAGGAGCAACATCTGGAGGAGTGAGTGTGGGCGCTGAGATAGGGCTCAGGTGCCCTGGGGATGTCAGGGCAGAATGCTGGGGTCGGGCAGGGCAGGGGAAACACAGATGTGTCTGTCTGAGTGGGGAAACGGAGGCAGAGGCAGGGCAAGCAAACACCAGGGTGAAATACAGCTGTTCCCCTCATCTCCAGAACGACACCCCCACAATGCCACAAGGATCTGCTTGGGGTGGGTGACCCCTCTCCACCCCATCCTCAGCATCCCACCCCCACCGGGCACTAGGAATCGGGGGTTGGGAATCCTTCCTGTCACCCCACCCGCAGCTGGGAAGGGTGAAGGAGACCCCACCCAAGCCAATTCTCATCGCTTTACCTCTCCCAGGGGAATGAAGGTGCTGGGGCCCCTCGCCAGCTCCCGGGTAGCCTCGATTCCTCTTTCCTAGGAAGGAAGGCACAGCCGGGAGTCAGCGGAGCCGCGGAACATCCCCGTCGGCGTCAGCGGAAGGGGTGACTCAGGCAGACACCGGCACGGGCCGGGGGCCGTGTCCCCCACGCCCTCTGCGTCAGGCTGGCAGCGCCTGACGAAACCGGGCTGCGATGTTGCCGCACTGCCGGACGCGTGTGACACACCGGGACAGGCAGCTGTGACACCGCGCCAGGGGAAAGCAGGGGATCCCGCAGGACGGCACTGTGCTTACGGCTCCTCCGGGGGCCACTAACCCCCCCCCGGGGCACAAAATGCCACTAAACATCATGATTTCCCCCCAAATTCACAGTTAATGCAGAAATGAGCCCTTGCTCGCAGGGCTGCCCCTGCTCCAGGCACGGACTCGGGTCCCTTCTGCCCCACACTGCTCAGGGCTGGAAACCCCCACAGCACCCAGGGAGTCACTGGGCGAGCTGCTTCCACAGACCCGCAGAGGGGACACCACGGCATCGTTCAAACCCCTGCAGCCTGCTGCAGCCTGGCACCTTCCTGAGCCGGAAAGGGATGTGCGCCGGGGACGGGGCGATACAGCCCGGGAGCCCTTACCTGGCCGCCCCGGCGGGCCCCGCAGCCCCGGTGCTCCTCCGGCCCCGCGGGGCTGCACGGCGAGCCGGCGACCAGCATCACGCTGGGGCTGGGCGGTGGGGACGGCCCCGGCCAGTCCCGGTCACCCCCGGACGGCCCTGGCCAGTCCCGGACGGCCCCGGTCACCCCCGGACGGCCCCGGTCACCCCCGGCCAGTCCCGGTCACCCCCGGCCACCCCCGCGCTCCGCAGCGCCCCCGGGACCCCGCGCCCGCCACGCTTACATAGCACGGGACGGGGACGCGCCCCCGGCCCCCCTCGACCAATGGGAGCTTGCGGGCGTGACCACCCAGCAACAATCAGACCAATGACAATAGGAGGCGTGGCCGACACGCAGACATCAGGTCTACCCAGAGCCGGCCGCACTTTGCCGACCCCGCACTGGAGCGGTGGAAACGAGTCCGGGGCAAAGAGAAAGCATCCCGGGGGAAACCACCCCGGGGGAAACCATCCCGGGGGAAACCGCCCCCGGGAAAACCGCCCCTGCGCCGCTCGGGTGGCCCCAGCTCCGGGCACCAACATCAGAAGGATACGGAGCTGTTGGAGTGAGCCCAGAGCAGGCCAAAGTGCTCCAAAGAGGGCTGGAGACCCTCTGGGCTGAAGACGGGAGAGCTGAAGGTGTTCAGCCTAGAGAAGGCTCTGGGGAAACCTTAGAGCCCATTCCAGAGCCTAAAGGGGCTCCAGGAGAGCTGGAGAGGGACTGGGGACAAGGGGGAATGGCTTCCCGCTGCCAGAAGGGAGGGATAGATGAATATTGGGAAGGAATTCTTTGCTGTCAGGATGGGGAGGCCTTGGGACAGGGTGCCCAGAGCAGCTGTGGCTGCCCCTGGATCCCTGCAAGTGTCCAAGGGCTTGGAGCAGCCTGGGATGGTGGAAGATGTCCTTGCCCATCCGAGATGGGCAGAATGAGATGAGCTTTAAGGTCCCTTTAACCAAAATGGTCTGGGATTCTCTGACTCTTTTACTGGGTTTGGTGTTTTTCCACAGGGACAGGGAAAAAAAAAAAAAGTAAAAAGAAGGGATAAAACCCCGTGCTCAGAACCATGGGCTGTCCCAGACACAGCACTGGTACCAATCTGGCGCTGCCTGGCAGCCCAACGCAGCCAAGTGCAGCAAACAGGAGTCACTGCACAAACAGCTCAGGATTCTCCTGGCAACAGCCTCCTCTGGCTCGGGGCTGAGCTCCTGCCAGCAGGGGCCACAGCCCAGGGCTGAACAGCACCCTCTGCACGGAGGAAACCTCCCTGGTCACTGCTCCTGGTCCTTGTCCCTTCCTGGGGCTATTTGCAGGGTGTTTTGCAAACAGCTCTGTGCTGAGGCTGGGGGGTCTGGGTGCCTCTGGCCACCTCAAGGTTTCCACTTCTGTATTTCCATTTGTGTAATTTCAGAGGCACAATTTGGGGGCTCCATTTCATCTGATCCAGGAACGTGGCCCCTCGCTGACCAGGGGTCAGAGGTGCTGTTTAGCCTCTGTCACCCCAGTCCAGCTCTGTCACCTGCTCCTTTGGCACTGTCACGCCCCACAGAGCTGCTGGACACGGGGCACAAGCAGAGGTGCTGCTGGTCACCAGCCAGCCCTGGGGCTGCCCAAAGTGGCTCAAGTGCCCAAGGCCAGGCTGGACAGGGCTTGGAGCAACCTGATCCCGTGGGAGGTGTCCCTGCCCCTGGCAGGGGTGGAACAAGATGAGCTTTAAGGTCTCTTCTAATCCAAACCATTCCATGATGACTCTACAGTTCCACCTGAGGCCACGAGCTCTGTGTTTGCTCTGGCTGAAGGCATCAGCCTGGAGGGGAAAACACATCTCCTCCTTTGCATCAGTAAAGGCAACACAGAGCAAGCAAAGTGGGGGTGGCAGAGAGGGAGAGGCTGCCTCTCTTCTCCCCTTTCTGCTCCCCAAAAAGCTCTGGATATTGGAGGGACAGGGCTGTGGGTGTGCATCAGGCAATGATCCAGCTGGAGAGATGGGCTGGAGATGCTGCCAAATATTTAATACAAAAATATCCCATCAGAAGACACGAAGGGCTGTGCCAGGAGGACATTTGTCCCACAGACAACTCCTGCATGTCGAGCAGGGCTAGGAGGGGCCAAGCACTGCTGGGTGGGCACAGAGCTCTGCGTTTGGGGCAGCACGGGATACCAGAGGAATATTGTTCCAGTGCCTCCTTTCCTTACATGCTCTGCTCAAAGAGCAGGAGCTGGATTGTCACTGTGGCTGGTCACCCCACCACTACATTGGGAAAACCTGTGGCATTAGGGCTTTGTGGGCTGCAAGAAGGAAGCCCAGAGCATTTGTGGGGTGGAGAAGGGAATTAGAATCATGGAATCATTCAGGTTGGAAAAGATCTTTAAGTGCATCCAGTCCAACTGTTCCCCCAGCACTGGGGGCCACCATCTAACTCTTGTCCCCAGATGTTACATCCCCATGGCTTTCAAATTCCTCCAGGGATGGGGACTCCCCAGCTTCACTGGGCAGTCTGTGCCAGGCCTGGACAGCCCTTTCCATGGAAAAATTTTCCCTAATATCCAATCTAAATCTTCCCTGGCATACCTTGAGGCTGTTTCCTCTCATTTCCTCTGCAGCTGCACTGTTCAGAGACATGCAGGGAAGGTGACTCCCAAGGTGATCCACAGGAGCTGCCAGCACTCCATCAGGATTCCTGCACTGCAGGCAGATTTATGTGGCTTCAACAAAATAAACATTAGAAACTGTGGTTTGCACTGGTCAGTGATCCTCACTGCTCTGGGAGTAGCAGCAGGAGGGAGCTGCTATCTCCATGAGCTCCAGGAGACTGGACATGAATAAGGAAAACAGTCAAAGCTAAAAACCCTTTAGACTCCTGGACCTCTGGAGATTTCCTTGGAAAAGGATGAGGGGCAGCCGAATTTTCTTCATGGAAATCTCATGGGAAAAGGGAAAACCTCCATGCCAAAGGAGCAAAGGAGCAGGTCCCTCTGTCTGTGCCAAGATCAGGAATACATCTCAGATGGGTCCTGGGAAGCTGGATGTAACCAAGTAACCAGGATCCTAGCAACAGGCTTGATGGGAGGATTTAAAGATAGAAAAAAAAGTAGGAGCAAAGCAAACAATGGGAAAATATTGTCTCATTCCCCAAACTCCCAACCCTAGAGCAGGATAAATCAGCTCCAGGCAGGGAGAGGTACTTTGGTTGTTTTGGTTTTTTTTTCCCTTTTCAAAGCAAACAAAGTATCAGTCACAGATGAGGATTTTTTTAAACCACTTTTACAGGTGTCATTTGTACAAATCAAAGCGTCCCTTGAAAATCTCATCATTACAAACATACAAAGAAACGATGTTGGTGCTACAAATCAGCTATGCAACGGCAGGAGCAATTTATCACGATTAAAAACTCTACTGAACAGTATTTACAGGGCCTTTCTCCCTCTTTTTATTTCTGTATGTTGAGGGAGGGAAAAAAGCAAAGCCCACAGTTAAAAAAACTCCCACCAATGCAGTTCATTTTCTAAAAGTATAAAACTGGGTGAGTTTTTGCCACACTCAGGCAAAGTGTAACAATTTCTCGTTTTGCTTGTTTTCACATCAAAAGTCTCTTAGAAAAACCAAAAACAAACACATGGCAGTGTCCGATGAAATGTGCTCCTTCCATGCCAGAAGCCAACATCATCCCAAAAAGTGCCTTTGAGTAAAATCAACTTTAGTAACAAATAAGAAACAAAAGGATGAAAAAAGTAATCACAAGCTCTAGTTAAAAGCTTCATCAAAGCCCTGACGGAGCAGCCGCCCTGCAGCAAAAGCATGAGTTCTCTTACCTACCTCCAGCCCCTGCTCGGGGGTCTCCAAGCCCTGAGATGTTTCTCCACTCCCTGACTGGCGGTCGGGATGTCGAGGAGCTCCTGCCAGCCTGGAGCTGTGTGGTGCTCCCTCTCCAAGTGCTTTTTATCCACCACCATCACCCCAAAAGAGGTGTCTGGGGGGCCCAGCCCAGCTGGTCTGGCTGGAAGGGTCATGGCAGCCGTGCTGTTTTGGGGCAGCACATCCCTGGTACAGGGAACTCTCATAGCCCTTTGATCCTGCTGGAATCAGCAGTGAGAAAAATCCCTGGAGTGCCCCAAAAAACACTCCCTGGCTCGGGTTGCTGCCTGAGTAAGTGCTTTCCTGGAGCCAACCTGGCCCCTGCATCTGGAAGGGGCAGGGAAAGGGGAAAGAGAGGGAATATCCGAGCCTTGAACTCTCTGTGTGAAGAAATGGAGTAAGAGACACTTGATCGCACCAAGCTGCAGAAATCATCAAAATCCCAGAGGTCACCACAAAACTAGGGCACTGGGGGGCTGGGGGGAATTCTGGGTGGGTTGTGGGCTGTATCATTCCACTTTGGCTCCCAACCCAAAAGCTCTGATCATAAAAACAAGGAAACACAAAACCAGGCAGTTTGGTTGCCAAGTTGACAGAGAAAATAAGAAAAAAACAAAACAAAACACAAAAATCTTCCAAGATAAATACATGGCCCCCATTTTGGAAGCATCTTCAAAAAGCTGGATCAACTGTTGTCAGCAGTGGCACAACCTTCCAGGAACACCTGTTGGGCTGGTGAGTTCTCAGCTCTCTTTTGAAGAAGGAACAGTTCAAGGGGAAAAAAAAATCCAGCTCCCACCACACGCAGCTCCCATTTTATCTGCAGAACAACTGGCCATGGCAATTCCCTCACAGCAGCAGGCTGGGAACCAGCAAGGAGCCACTAATGCAGCAGGTTCCTGTTTGCTCATGGAAAGGGCTGGCAGTGGTAGCAACTGGTTAGGAAAAGATTTCTTCCAAAAAACAGTACTTCAGGGGGGATTTAGGAAGGCTGGGACCTCTCCCCATGGACTGAAACTGGGCACACTCAAGCATGCTGTCAGAAGGTAACACGCACCAGGGATTCCCATGGAGTCCAGGTCTGGGCTTCCAGCGATCCAGCAGGCCTCCCACACTCCTCAGCTAGTGCTGGGGAAAGCTCCCAGGCTGGGGGCTTGGCTTTAAGGGGAGGTTATTGCTCCTGACTTCTCAGGCTTCTTGCCTTTTGACAGGGCAGCTGCTTGCTTCAGGAGTTCTCTGTTCTTGGCCTGGAAATGGGGAACACAGGTATTTAGTGGCACGGA